TGAATGTGTATCCACTTTTACCCACCGCACTCTTGACTAGTGGAGGGTCGTTAGTCGAATGGGTAGGATAGGACGCAACCTTCCATTATAAGTATAATGAAATACGAAGTAACTAAACACTTTTTAAAATTCTCAAATTTTAGTTACTTTAGGAAAAATGTGGAATTGGTGCTAATACATGAAATTGCACATTGCACCTTTATTGGTCGTTAGTGTAGTGTGTGTGGTTAACCGACACACTAATAGGAACCAATGAAGGATGGTAATGTGTAGCTTGATGTTTATCATAGATCAATGGAGCGTGTGTGGTTAACCAGCATATTGATTAGGTGATTTGTAACATCGAGAGTACCAAGCTAATTTACATGGTTATCCACACCCTGTTTGTGATCCTATGCATCCCAATCACAAATGAAGGTCACAATCATGTTTTAAACATGCCATTGAAAAGTTCAATGAATCTCAAAAGATCTAGGAGTTTCAATTCATTTAAAACTTAAATTTCCTTTTCGTTTTCATTGCGGAAATTAGTAAATCGTCATTTACCTACATTCAAATGTTCTGCAATTTGGATTACGGCATCCCTCTTCCAAATTGTAGAATATTGTGCTAGTTCCTAGCCTTAATATCTCATTGGGTGTTTTATTAAGGACTCAATCAACTAACTTGAATTTTCTCCCATTTTGTAGATGTCAAAGTCTGACAACTATGGTCTTCCTAAATCCGTTGGAAACAGTTTTCCACTTGAAGATGGTGTTCCATAATCGGATTGTGGAAATGGAAATCATTCTTCACTTCCTCCACCTCCTCCAATAATTCTCCATGACCTACGTGTTCGAAGACTTGAAAAGTTCAAGGTCACGTAATCCCTATTGGCGAAAAGACACGAAGATGGAAAGTTTGTATGTGCTCATGTATTGGATATGAAGTTGCATATTGATAGATTAGGAATGTTGGGCGTCGATGTCTCGAAGAAGTTGGGTGTTGACTTGGTTCTTCACTCACTTCCCGATTCATATGGTAAGTTCATTAGAGAGTACTATATGATGGAACACGACGTGAGCCTTATTGATTTGACTTATTTGATTATTGTTGTTGAATCATAAATGATTTGGCGCACTTGTCAAGAAAATTTGTCTGGTAAATCAATATCCCAAGCTTCTATGGACAATGGCAACATTGGAAGTCCAGAAAAGTTTTCTCTATGCAAGAGAAAGGCTGAGTCTGAGATAGTCTCGTGAACCATTCTAGAAGAGTCCATATGTTTCTACTGACAAAAGAGGGGGCATTGATTACGAAGCTACCCTGACTACCTGAGAGATCTTAGAGATGGGAGAGTCAAGATGTATGACTCTGCTTCAGGTAAAATCCACTATCTAACTTTATTAAGTTCCTATTTTGAGATTCTAAATACATGATGTGACAAGATTACATTTGGTGTTTTGTAGGATTGAAGAAAAGAAAGGAAACTTATTTTTTTGACACTAAAGTCCAAATTACAAACAATTTTTTACACTTTTTACCCTTTTTTCCCGGTTAGCCAGTAATTATGACTTTTTTGTCACAAAAATGAAGTTTAGGACTTTCTTGTCAAATCGTATATTAGGACTTTAGTGTCAAAAAAATAAAGTTTAGGACTTTTTTTGTCAAATCGTTGAAAATATTGAGACTTTAGTGTGTGTGTGTGTGTATATATATATATATATATATATATATATATATAGGGTTAGGTTATTTTGTTTTTAATAACTACTGTGTGCCAGAATGCACAGATCTGGACCATTGGATGGAATATAATCAAAGGTCATGATCTGAGGGTCTATGATAGTAGAATATGATAACATGTACCATATAATCACACAAATTTCAACATAAGGGCATTTTAGTCAATTAACCTATATTAAAAAAGGAAATTTTCGGATTTTTAGGAATGATTAATTTCTTTATTTTTTAAAAATCTGAATATTTAAAATTAATTCAAATTTAAAAATCCGATTTTATTCTGTCAGAATGATAGAATGCCAACCATAAACTAGTAAATATATTTTTCGATTTTATTCTGTCAGAATGGTAGAATGCCAAACATAAACTAGTAAATACATTCTGAAAGAATACACAAATCAATTCTTGAACTAATAATATAACAAATAATTACATTGTATGATTGTTATTAATTGAATAATAACAACATTCTGAAAGAAAAAAAAACATCAAAATCTAAGAAAAACATTAATCTATTCTGAAAGAATATTATTTTTAATCAACACTTTATACATTGTAGCATAGCACATTCTGATATAATACACTCTCGTTCTATATGTTTTCTTCCTTCTCCACATCAATGTTAGCCTCTTCAAACCTAAATCCACAAAGAAAAGATAATCATTTTTCAAAAATTAAACAATTCAATGCATTATAATAGAATACAACAATAAATATTCTTACATAATAAACTATTCTTGCAGAATGATTTTGAATATTCTTAAAGAATTTGTAACATATTCTATCGGAAATGATATGATAGAGAATGATAACATATTCTACCGGAATGTTTTTTAATTTTCCTATCTAATAATGGTTTTTTACTTTCCCTATCTTGACAAATAAGAAGATTGAAATCAAATTGTCACTGAATAATAAACATTCTTAGATTTTTGACAGAATACATACTACATGGCCAGATTCTCTTTCAGGCATTTCCACAAACACCTTTTGTGCACACATATTTAAATAATAGAGAATCAAAAGCTTAAAGTATAAAAAAACAAATATCCTCATCGTTCTTCTGATGCGAATTTAAGGGAGTGTACAACTAAGCAAAACTTAGCATCCATTAAAATAGGTTGCTTCATCAATTAAGGTTTAAGAAAAAAGGGTTAAAGTATAATCGTTGGTACCTATATCGGATATCTCACTTGAGTAGATCCAAATGAAAATAGGTCAGACATGGGATTTATGCTTCCGTCTCGGAGCACTGTCTCTACAGCTGATTCACAAATGTGTCGGTTTCCTGTCCACAACAGTCCGACTGCTCTGTTCACTGGATTCACCGTCCGGCCAGAGGCTTCGAACAGTAAAGACTGAAATAAACCTGAACGTACACAATTAAACAGATAACCAATTAATTTGTATTATATATCAACATATTAATCAACCAAAACCTCAAATAGTATAACTTGTAAGAAGGTATGAGATAAATAGATAGATTGAAGATGTTGTGATGATATTTACCAGGTCGTTGGTGCTCAGGGACGGAGGAGAGGAAGGACATAAGGCCGGCACAACCGAAAAATTTGGCAACAAACAAATTGGCGTTGGCTTGAGCTTGAGCACTTTCGATGGCACAGAGGCTTTGTCTGAGAATGCAGCCCTTTCGAAGAATTCTGCAGCCATTGCAACAACACCTTGAGTCTGTTTGTGTGCTAATTGTTGGAAGCGATGCTGAATAGGAATGGGGTTTGGAGTTGTGTTTATATATGTCGAACTAAGGAGAGGATAAGGGTTTCTGGATCTGTGAAGAGAGAACGATGATTTTTAGAAAATTGGGGGGAATCGTTGGTGGTGTTATATGAAGATGATAACCTAAATTAGTGGGATATTGATTGATTTTGTTTTCTTTTACCATAATTAATTATAGTGTATATTACTCTTATACCCTTTTATTATTTATTAATGATTTAATTATTTCTTGAATTCTCATTGGTGCATTTAGACACACAATACTTGTTAAAAACATTTGAACCTAGCTCTCTCTCTCTCTCTCTCTCTATATATATATATATATATATATATATATATATATATGGTTAGAAATTTAATGGTATGATACTTTTTAAGCATAAGAGTTATTGAAACCTCCAATAACTCTTATGCTTAAAAAGTATCATACCGTTAAATTTCTAACAAAAAAAAAAAATTATATATACACTAAAGTTCCAATATTTTCAACGATTTGACAAAAAAGTTATAAACTTTATTTTTTTGACAATAAAGAATTAACGATTTGACAAGAAAGTCCTAAACTTTATTTTTTTTGACAAAAACGTCCTAATTACCGGCTAACCGGAAAAAATGATAAAAGTGTCAAAAACTGCCGATAATTTGGATTTTACTGTCAAAAAAATAAATTTTAAGAATTTCTTGTAAAATCGATGAAAATAATAGGACTTTAGTGTATATATCTCAAGAAAGTTTTATAAACTTTTCAATATATAATATTTTAATTTGAAAAATATATATATATATATATTTAAAGAAAATAAATAAATACATAAAGAAAAAAAAAAAAAAAACCAACCCGAGACGAATCCGAAGAAAAAAAAAAAAAAAAAAGTTTACAACGCCACTCGAACCTAAATGCCAAATGGAGTGGTCAGGTCAGGTGAGGTCACGGGCTGACGGCTGAAGCTGAACCACAACCACACGTCCACGGTTCACACTCCACACCCATGAAATCTCACCCAACCGCTCATCTTATCCCACCTATATAATCCAACCACTTTTCCACCATTCATTCGCATCATCAATCTCATTCAAAGTTTCAAACAAATCACCCTCTTCCCCTTTGCCGATTGACCTACTGTTGCCGGATAATCGTCATCGAATTAGGAGAAACAGCGTCTACCCTTGGGGTTGCCTGCTAGAGAGGAACGGGTTGGGGTAAAACCCTGGAACGACAAGTTGCAGACATCACGGCTATACACGGAGCAACGCGGCCACTCGTTCATGTCCGATCAGTACGGCGGAAGGGTTCAATAACTATTGAGAGCAACCCTTCGACGCACGGCGGACGTGGCGCTTTGCCTTCCGAAGGCGGTAGCCCATCCGACCTTCTCTTCCTCGCCGGCGGTGGTTCATCCTCCTTCCTATTCCTCGTAGCTTAGGGTATATTAGGTCTAGACTTATACGCATATATCCCATACCTGTTATTATCGTTTAATTTTCAAGATCTGCTTTCTTCATCGCTCGTATCCGTTTAATCAACCAACCAATCGAAGAACATGCTGAGGATTAAGAGGGTTCCTACTATTCTTTCCAACTACCAGAAGGAGGGGGTCGAGGAAGGCGGTGCAGCCCGTGGTTGCGGCCGTAATTGCCTCAGAAACTGTTGTCTAACAGGTATTCCTTCAATTGCGTTCTTTTTTGATATTTTTCTTCAAAACTTCGTTATGATTTGAAGTTTTGAACGTTTAAAACATTGTTCCTGTTTTAATTTTCATTTATCCTGGGGTTGAATACAGGGGCTAAGCTACCTTTGTATGCTTTTCCAAAATCCAACAAGGTTGATTTATGCCTCAATAATGAGGTCCCTTTTGCCTTCTTGGACTCCCTTCTTCTAGGAGAGGTAATATTCAAACTTCCATAGCTCATATCTCTGTGGTTAGGGTTTTAATAATTGGTAGACTAAGATTGTTTCCTGTAAAACTCCAGTGGGAGGATCGAATGGAGAGGGGCCTTTTTCGCTATGATGTTACTGCTTGCGCCACTAAGGTATTCAGCAGTTTCTTGTCTTTGAAAAAACTAAAAGTTATGCTAATTTTGCCTCAACCATACTATTTTATGAATGTTTACAGGTGATTCCAGGTGAACTCGGTTTTGTGGCTCAGCTGAATGAAGGTCGGCACCTTAAGAAGCGTCCCACTGAGTTCCGAGTTGACAAGGTGCTACAGCCTTTTGATGAGAACAAGTTCAACTTTACGAAAGTTGGACAGGAGGAAGTGCTATTTCAGTTTGAAGCAAGTGAAGATGGTGAAGTCCAGTTCCATCCAAATGCTCCAATTAATGTAGACGGTTCACCGAGTGTAGTTGCCATTAATGTATGTGATGAATGCTTTCTTGTTCGTTTTTTTTTTTTTTTTTTTCATCTTCTATGTTATACAATCTTATACAAACAATCTAATAATAAACATGTTTATTCATTTGAAATCAAAAGGTTAGCCCCATTGAATATGGGCATGTGCTTCTGATACCTCGAATTCTTGAGCACCTACCTCAAAGGATCGACCATGAGAGCTTATTACTTGCACTGTACATGGCACGTGAGGCTGGAAATCAATACTTTCGTCTTGGCTACAACAGCTTGGGTGCTTTTGCTACCATCAATCACCTTCATTTCCAGGCTTACTACTTGGGTGTGCCATTTCCAATTGAGAAAGCTCCCACTAGAAAGATTACAGACTTCAATGGCAATGGCAATGGTGGGGTTGTAATTTCTGAGATTCTCAACTATCCTGTTAGAGGTCTTGTGTATGAGGGTGGAAGTGGAAGTTCTCTTGAAGATTTATCAAATGCTGTGGCTGATTCATGCATATGTCTTCAAGACAACAATATACCTTACAATGTGCTCATTTCAGATTCTGGAAGACGCATCTTTGTCCTTCCTCAGGTAAAAAAAAATTTATAAAAGAGGAAAAAGAAAAAGAAACAATCTTTTTTATTGTTTGAAGTTAATTAGTTAATGTGAAAAATGGAATGGGATTGGATGAACAGTGTTATGCTGAGAAGCAGGCTCTTGGGGAAGTGAGTGGTGAGCTGCTGGATACACAGGTGAATCCAGCGGTGTGGGAAATCAGTGGACACATGGTGTTGAAGAGGAAGGAGGACTATGAAGGGGCATCTGAGGAAAAGGCTTGGAGACTTCTTGCTGAGGTGTCATTGTCTGAAGAAAGGTTCCAGGAAGTGGTGGCCATTATATTTGAGGTCATTTCTGTTACAGAGAAGATGTTGACTGAAGATGAACAAGATGTTGACCAAGTCGATGGTGGGCCCCGTGAAGCAGCCATGGTGCCTGGGAAACAAGAATGCCTAGTTCAGTACTAGGTATGTATGCTCTGCTCTGCTCTCTTGTTATATATCTATATATATATATATATATATATATATATATATATATATATATATATATATATATATATATATATATATATATATATATATATATATATATAGTTAAGTTATTTGGGAAGTTTTTCGTGGTTTTGGTGTGGCTGTGTTGACCACGAGACTTGACCATTAAATAAAGCAGTGTGTGTGTGTGGGATTGTAGTGTTTGCAAAATGACTTGAGGATATTTGATTGTGATTGTGTTGCATGTAAATATTTCAGTGTGCTGTTGCTCTATGAGAGCTAATTAATGGCTGTTGCCACGTAATGTATTTGTTGGTTATTATTATTAATCAAATCTTGTGCTACCTTATATTTATCAACTTCCAACACTAGTTTAACGGGTGTTTGGCAAAAAAAAAAAACCTATTAGCTTATTAGTGGTTCCTAAGTGCTATAAGCTAAAAATATATTTGGATAAAAATAGCTTATAGCAGTGTTAAGTCATTTTTCATAAGTTTTTTTTTTTTTTTGGCCAAACTTACCAGCTTGTAAGCTAATAAGATATAAGCCAATAAATAATGATTTTTTTTTTTTTTTTTTTTTTCCAAACACACTGTCAATTAAAAGGACATAAAGTTTTGAACGACTACTTGTCTTGAACACTATCTTTCCCTTCACAAAAAAAATAATAATAGTAATATTAATAAAAAAACTCACTCATGTAAAGAGAAAAACAAAAGGAAAATGACTTAACAAGGTAACGAAGTTTCAAAAGTGTACAAAAAAGATCATTGTTGTTTTTTTTGTACACAAAATACCATTTTAGCGGTTATTGTAGGTTATCTGGTTTTCAAATGTTCAAAAAATACCATTGTTTTTTTAGTACAAAAAATACCATTAATGTTACTATTTGTACACAGAATACCAATAAAATATACATGTATTCAACTAAAACATTGTGGTAACCAGGTTTCAGGTAAATGGGATGAGAAGAGTGTAATTAGCAACTATTTGTTTAATTTTTGTTGAAATTATTGGAAAAGATCTTACTTCCACTGTATGATCCGCCGAACAAGATTACAGGTGACGCTTCGGCTGACAAATTTTTCTTCAAATCGGTGATGAGAAGAGCGTAATCAGCAAGTGCTTGTTCGATTGTTAGATAGGCTAAAGTAGAAGCGTTCTTGTATGCCTCTTTCTGGCTTCCATATGGCATCGATTCACCATAATATCGATGCTAGATCAAAGCACGCAGCTTTTGATAAAATTGTATTATTAAAGGTCCGCAAGTGAAGAAATTAATGTAGAGTAGAGTGATTAGGGCTTTTACTTCGGGGAAGATGACCATGACACCAAAACGAGGGGTGAGTTCCCAAACAAAGTCGGTGTTGGCAGCGAACCATTCGATGTTGCCTTCGTTGCTGCAGTAAAGGAAGATTGGGCCCAAACGATTGGGGCCCGGGCCCACCCAGTGATCGGAGTTGATGAGATAACGTTGTTGGAACTTGGGAATATCATTGAAGTTGAAATGATCAAGAGTCTGATCAAAGTATCGTGTCTCGTAAGTGTACTTCAGCTGAACGAGAATGTTTTGGGTTTTGAGAAGTCGTGGGGATTTGTCGAGAAACGGAGGTAGCCGGCAAGATTCCGGCGTTGATGAAAGTAGGCAGATGATTAGGAGGAAGAATAAGAAAAAGGGTTTTTCCATGGTGGTGGAGGGTGGCGATGAAAAACAGTAGTGGCCGAAGTGAAGTGGATGGTTCTTTATAAAAAATAGCTAAATTTCCATTACATTCAAAGAAGGAAAAATGATTTAAAAAGGTAACGAAGTTTCAAAAATGTACAAAAAAGATCGTTGTTTTTTTTTTTTTTTTGTACACAAAATACCATTTTACCGGCTATTGTAGGTTACCCACAATGTTTTATTTGAACACATATGTACTTCATTGTATTTTGTGTATAAAAAATATACTTCAATGATATTTTGAGTACTAAAAATAAAATAACGATATTTTTTGTACATTTTTGAAACTTCATTACCTTTTAAAGTCATTTTCCCAAAAACAAAAGATGTAGGGTGTACATACTACAACCTTTACAATTCAATTCAAAACCAATAACATATCTAAATCTAATTAGATTGTATCGGTTTCAAAATTTTAGCTTCAAAATTTTGATATTCAAATTGGACCAATCTGTTTTTAGATATCTAATCTCAAACCTCCAAAATCCAATACAATTTGTAGACGATTTGACACTTTTCGGAACATCTCGAATCACATCAATCCAAGTAATCCAAGTAGAAGAGAGAAAGATACGACTAAAACATTAGTTTATTTGATAATAATTTTTCTTTGTTACTTTATATGGTTTGTCTCACATGCTTGTTCATAAAAGTATAACAATCCTTAATAACTATTACCTAAACAATCCACACACACACACACACACACACATATATAATATATATATATATATATATATATATATATATATATATATATATATATATATATATATTACAACCCCACCTAAGCTTAGGTACTAAACTTCTAAAATATATTGTTTTAACATGCTAGATATACCCGGTTTGGTTTCACTTGGTAAATATATCATCCTCCACAACATTTCTTTCTTTCATTATCGTTTTACAATCCCTGTTTTCTTTCCTCAATCATCGTTTATTACTTCACCCAAGTGAACATTACTAAACCCTAAACCTAAACCATAAACCCTAAGCCTAAACCCTAAACCCTAAACCTAAACACTAAACCCTAAACCCTAAACCCTAAACCCTAAATCTAAACCCTAAACCATATTATGTCGATCTTGAATTTACATCTTGAAGTATTAATCGTGAATCCATTAACCGTAATCTTTATATAGTAAACAATGTATTTTCAAGAGGTTTAGTAGCTAAGTTGAGGTGTGACTGTAATGTGTATTTCCTTTTCCCAACCTTATATAAGTTTAGGTACCTAACCACATTATACTACATTGTTTTGCATTATATTTCCATTGCAATCGTCTAAAGTTCTTAAACTTCAACCCTTAACTTGATTTACTTTCAAGATTTTCATACATTCACCGTTATATTCCTCCTACACCATTTGTAACGACCCGTTCCCGGTATGTTGATTTATTGGTAATTATAGTGAGTTTTTCAAGAGGGACTCGACGAGTTCTAGCCTGACTCGACGAGTAGGGTCGCGCCTGAGGGCACGCGTGAGCCGGGGACTCGGCGAGTCCATATCCCTGACTCGGCGAGTCCATCTGTCCGGGTGAAACCCTAAATTCCCCGGGTTGCCCACTATTTAAACCACCTTATAACCCCCATTCTCGCCTCCCTCACCCTGAGAACGCAGTGAGAGAACCCTAATCCTCCCTTGAAGAGCTTATATGTGTTTTGGTGCCATTTTGTGAAGGTGTGAAGAAGGAGAAGAAGGAAGAAGCAAAAGAGAAGTGTTGTAGTGCAAAGATCCAAGGCCAAATCAGAGTTAATTGAGGTATTTTCGGAGTTCCATCTTGTTATATGCTTTAAACTTCCATTAGAGCTCTCCTAAGAGCTAGTTGATGCTTGTTCCAAGCCTTACACTTGCATGAACGTCTTATTAAGTCGAAATAGCTATGGATCTGAATGTTGGGGTGTTGTAGAGCCCAGATCTACTGTCTTTTTGGAGTTATATTGCATGATAACCATAGATCTACCCATTTTATGCATCTTTTAGCCTTATTTCCCTTATTCATGAGGTTGTGCACGTAAAGTTGGAAACTTTACGTGGTAAACAGCTTATTGGACTCAGATCTATCAATTGTATGCATTGGATTCAAACAAAATCAAGTAAAAATCAGTTGCATGGCGGCAACTCGGCGAGTCCCGAAGTCCTTCAGTTTTATCAGTGTCGAGTGGACGAGGTGAGTTAGGGAGTGGACTCAGCGAGTTGAGGGTGAACTCAGTGATGGAAGGACTCGGCGAGTTGTTCATCAACTCGGCGAGTCCAAGGCAATCTTCTTGGGATCAAGAACAACTCGTCGAGTCTGTTCATACGACTCGGCGAGTCGGATGAAGATTGTCTGAGTTCTTGGATCAAGAGGGTACTCGTCGAGTCGATGCCAGACTCGACGAGTAGCAGCGAGTAAGAGTGAAAAGTGAGAGTAGGACTCGGCGAGTTGGGTGGCCCAACTCGGCGAGTCAGCCCAAAAGAGAGTTGACTTTGACCGAGGGTAAAAGAGTCATTCTACCCCAAGCGCAGTGTTTAGTATTTGATTGAGTGTGTTTATGGACTTGTAGCCGAGGAGATTCAGGAGCAGCCGCCGTTAGCTTCCCGAGCCACACACTCAGCAGCCAGCTTACGAGGTGAGTTTCCTTCCAGTAGGAACGGGTCTAAGGCCACAATGCCGGCCCGTTCAGTTAGCAGTAGCTTCCGGATTTAGGTCCGATGCAGTAGTTAGTATGTTCGATGCCTTCGTGGCTCGAACAGGATTTATGTGCTATGTTTTATGTGTTCCGGGCCACGGCCCGATGTAGCATGTCGTATATGTGTTATGCTATGCCATGTTCAGCCAGTCAGTTCCGGACTTCGGTCCGATGCAGGGGACAAGGTCCCAGTCAGTTCCGGACTTCGGTCCGATGCAGTTAGTTCCGGACTTCGGTCCGATGCAGGGGACAAGGTCCCAGTCAGTTCCGGACTTCGGTCCGATGCAGTTAGTTCCGGACTTCGGTCCGATGCAGGGGACAAGGTCCCAGTCAGTTCCGGACTTCGGTCCGATGCAGTTTCCGGGCTTCGGCCCGATGCAGTGGGCAAGGCCCAATATGTGTTTATATGTTATTGTATGGTATGTGGTAGTTTGGGGGAGCTCACTAAGCTTCGTGCTTACAGTTTCAGTTTGGTTTCAGGTACTTCCGCAAGCAAAGGGAAGAGCTCGGGGTGACAGCATCGCACACACCACAGCATAGCTTTTATCCTGGGGATGTCTTTTGATGTTTTGGATTGATGTTGTATGATACAGTTTTCCGCACAATATTTTATTATGTTTTGGGGATACATCGCGTATGTTTTATGTTATGATACTTATATTATGGTTTTGATTATATTGAAAAACGAAAATTTTTGGGTCGTGTTTTTGGGTCGTTTCAAGTTGGTATCAGAGCCCTGGTTTGAGGGATTCGGATACACTTCCGGGTGTATCTGAACTCAAACTAAGGGAAATAAAAGATTTTAGTAAAATAAAAATGTTTTACAAAAAGAATTTTGAAAGCACTTAGAAAGAAAGAATTGTTTTTAACAAGATAGAGGTGTGTGCATGCGGTCAGCCGAGCTCAAGTAAGTACTCCCAAATTACCCATACAAGTTATTTGTTCAGTTTCAGTTTCAGTAGAACAGCATGCTAGTATAGGGCTAAGGATCTAGGAGAATGCCTTATGTGCCTGCTTATGTGTTACAGCTTTATGAGTATTGCATGCTAGAATTGAGTAGACAGCAGTAGGA